TTGATGATGATGAAGATTTAAATAAAATAAGATAAGTCAAATCTTCTTTATAACTTTTTTTTATTTTTTTTTACATGACATTTATTATTCTTCGATGAACCACTCAAATCACTCTGTAGCATGTTTTATTATTACATGTAGTATGATTTGTGACCCATTTAGCACTTGTAGTGTGACTTATGCCATCCTTTGCTCCATGTGCTATGTATTTTACCTCCCTATAACAGTCTCCATGATGGTGTTTAAGATCCCCAGCGCAAAAATTCTAATCGAACAACCTCATCGGTCCAAGAAATAACTTCTAATCACAACTCGCAGTGGGATTCAGAAAGATTTCATCCACATTTTGGCTCAATCCCATGTCGGTATATTGAATTACCGGATATCAATAAAGTCATCTAGTTTTCTACCCTCAGATCTCACTATTTTACATTTCAATATTAGATCCTTGGGTAAATATGCTGATGACTTAGCTGAACTAATTACTAATTTTTATTCCCTGCCACAAATTCTTGCGTTGAGCAAAATCAGGATAAAGAGGGACGCCGCTGTTAACAACGTTGACATCCCTGGTTACACCTTTATCCATGCTCAATCCCCAACTCAAGCAGGTGGTGTGGGGTTCTATATTAAAAATGACATGAATTTTCAAATAACGCAAGAATTTGACTTAGTTTTTGAAAACTGTGAGAACATGTGGATCGAGTTGAAATGCTCTGAACAAAATCCAAAATCCCAAAGTCTTGTTATCGGTGTTATCTATAAGCATCCCCAGCGCAATATTTCATCCTTCACTCGAGCGATGTCTTCTGTATTCGAAAAGCTGACATTAGCCAAAAAGCAATTCATAATTTTGGATGACTTTAATATAAACCTCCTCAACACCCTCGATACTCCAACCTCCAAATACTTGAATATGCTCATGTTCAATTTTGTATTCCCAATCATCACTAGACCAACAAGAGTTACTTCATCCTCCCACACCTTAATAGATCACATTTATACCAACACCTTAAAATCATGCTCATCATCATTTATTATTATTAGTGATCTCACCGATCATTTTCCTATTATGTGTACTTTATCAACAACTAGTGCTCAAGTCCAAACAAAAACACGCATGAAGCGTGACATGGCAAATTTTTCCGACACATTCAGATTCCGACACATGGCCGACACATTCAGATTGGAAGTTGAAATGATGTGTAGAAATTATGCCAGTGTTATATTATCCAAAGAAAATTTTAATAGTTCATTTGACCTCTTTCTTAGCCATTTTAAGTGGTTGATAAATAAGCACGCATCATTACGCCCTCTGTCACACAGAGAAAATAAATTGTATTCCAAGCTCTGGATAACCAGGGGAATTCGCAAGTCCATCAAACACAAAAACACCATGTTTAGAATAATGTTTCTGAATGGAAACGCATCGCAGCGTCATTACTTCAAAAAATACAAGAATATTTTAACACGCTTTCTAAGGAAATCGAAACAGCAGTACTACCATAATATTCTAGTCAACAACAGAGGAGATGTCAAACGCACATGGCAAACCATCAATGAGATTGTAAAAATTAAGATAAGAGAGGTCCCCACCGTCTCAGAATTAAAATTGGAAAATGGTACTACTGTGACAGACCCCGTCCATGTGGCCACTGAATTCAACAAATTCCTCTCTTCTATAGGGAAAAAACTCGCAGATGAAATCCCACATAGTACCAAATCAAATGCTGAATTCCTGGGTGTCCCTTTACAGAACTCTTCTTTTTTTGAGTCAACATCACCTTTAGAAGTTCTCTGTGCAATTAGGGACCTGAAAAAGGGTAAAGCGGTTGGACCGGATGGTATTTCCTCTTATTTTTTGAAATTAGGTGCTGATATCATATCACCAGCTTTGAGTAATTTCTTCAATTCGTCATTCAATCTAGGTATATTTCCTTCTTCATTAAAACTTGCTAGAGTTATACCAATTTTTAAATGCGGTAAAAAAATAACCCTTCAAATTATAGACCTATCTCTATTTTATCTTCAATTAGCATCATAATGGAAAAGTTGTTGTATACCAGAATGATGAGCTATTGTACTAAATTCAGTTCGATAAACAAATGTCAATTTGGATTCCAGACCAAACACTCAACCAGTCATGCTATCCTTGATCTGACATCATTTATATATGATAAAATAGACAAAGGCGAGTATGTTTCTTGTGCCTTCCTAGATCTAAAAAAGGCTTTTGATACTGTAGACCACACTATGCTCATTCACAAGTTAAGACATTACGGTTTTAGGGGTAATGCAGGAAAACTGTTATCCGATTACCTGACAGGGCGGTATCAATTTGTTGAAATAGGTCTCCATAGATCCCCAATGTTACCCATCCACTGCTAAATTGTTCAGGGCTCGGTATTGGCCCATTAGCGTTCTTATGTTTCATAAACGACCTGTCTAACAGCTCGAATCTTTTGAGTAAACTATTTGCAGATGATGCATGCTTGCTCACCAGCGCGAAGGATCCGACTACACTCCAGCTAAATATGAACACTAAAATAAATAAAATTTATGAATGGATGTTATGCAACAAGCTAACAGTGAACATAGATAAGTCAAAAGTCATGGTGTTCGGCTCAAAATCTCACAATAGATACCCCAACCTCGCAATTGGAATCAATGGCAGAAAATTAGAAGTAGTCCAGTCTTATAAATATCTAGGACTCAATATCGACCACCAATTAAAGTGAAACACGCACACTGCTGATTTGCATAGAAAACTATTAAGAACGGTAGGGATCCTGGGTAAACTTAGATATTACTTACAGGAAACCACACTAAGAACCATTTACTTCGCACTTTTCCAGGCCCACATTCAGTATGCCATAGCGACATGGGGTTCTACAGCTAAAGTAAACATGCGTAAATTGGAAGTCTTACAAAATAGGGCCATTAGAATCCTTTCTTGGGCACCTTTACGTTCCAATTTAAACAATCTATATTATAAGCATAGAGTACTAAAATTACATGACATCTACAAACTAGAAATTTCTAAGATTATGCACCAATTCCAAAACAATCAATTGCCAGCGGCTTTCGACCAGTATTTTCTCACCCTAAGTTCAGTGCATAAATACAACACCCGCTCCTCAACAAAGAGTAATTTTTTTGTTCCTCGTTTCTCACTAAGCAAATCCCAAAATTCTTTGAAATATCAAGATGTTTCAATTTGGAACAGTCTACCCCAAGACCTACGTGAGTCATCTTACATGACTTTCAAATTTAATTATAAAAAATTCCTGATTTCCTCTTACCAACCCACCTGAATTTTCCAAGTCGCTGTTTCATATTTTATCCTTGCTTTGTGTCCATCAAGGTCATATTCAACTCGATTCACAGCCTGCCTGTAATAAAGAGACCTGTTTATTTGCTGTTAAATTCTTGTTGTATTTTATATATTGCAATGTTACTGTGGAATCATCATAATTTCTTGTTATACTCTATATATGTTGGTGTGCGCAATCTTATAGAATTTTTGAACTGCTTTATTTATCGCCAGTTTTCTTACCTCCAATCTAACTCAGATATCCGTGGTCATACAGTCTCACACAAGTGCCTATCTTTGAGTTGACGCTTAAACAATACTACAAGCGTTAACTCGTATTATTGTTATTTATTAAGATATTATTATCAATTATTGGTATTTACTAAGTGCAGCTTTATTTAACTAATATAGCATGATACCTTACCGGTACTATAGTGGTTCTCATTATCCTATTTGTATATTTTTAGTGCATTTTGTTGTCTCATGCGCTTTTGTACTGGATCTATCCTATGATTAACAGCTTATTATCTACCAGAGTAATGCTTACCTTTTGTTGCTTTTTTCTCCATTTTTGTCACATTTTCATGTATACATCTGCCTCCAGCTTCGGTAGAGACCTACGAGTTTATATTTAAACATCACTCAAATTCTGAGTGCTACAGAATTCACTTATACTTTCCGGCGGTCTCTACCCCCCTATGCCGTACTTCGGTACGGCGTAAAAATATAACACTATTTCCGCATCGATTGGAATTACTAACTCGACTTTATCTTTCTGTTTGTTATTCAATAACCAACTGCTGTTACCATGGCTACCCCGACCAGTGGTGTCGGGAGTCGCTTTCTCATATTAACTAGAGTGACACCGTGATATACCGTCACTTAAATGTGTAAAAAGGCCGTCTTCGACTTTATTATTTTATTTATTATTCACGACTTTTGCTAGTATCCTGTTTGACTTTTTTCTCACTATGATTTAATTTTTAGACTCACTCCCCCAGGGTGACGCTGCTCGATAACCTCTACTGGTTTATCGCGCCTCCCTTCACACTGAAAGTATTGTTTTATGTGTGATTCGTAGTTATTTTTGTCTATTGTGTACTTTTGGTATGTGATAAAATAAACTACTGACTGACTGATTTGGACCTGCGACCTCGGAGATACCTTTAATGAGACCTTCTAAGAGGCGAAACAAAATGCCGTTCTGTAGCCTATTGAATAGCTTCTTATGTAATGTGCTCAAATGACGTTGATGTTTTAATGTAAAAATAAATCGTCTCACAAATTTCAGGTGAACGTGAAATGCATGGTATTCACTCGCAAAGCAACGCATTCGCAAAAAAAATCTGGTCCGTTATATTAGATGGGCTTTTTGAAAACAGTATTTTAGTCTTAAGCTGATTTGAGATAAACAAAGCCCGATGCTGGTCTAAATATATATACTTGTAATAACTTGAAGCGACAAAGTTTCATAGATAAAACGGTCATTTAACGCTCATTTAACGCTCGTTCATAGGCTTTCTAAAACGCATTCTCTGGAATCTCCATTCCATGTGATTTGTATGTGTAGTGTTTATAACGATGCAGAACATTATTCAGTTAGGATTCGGTTTATTCAGTCAAAAATCGCAAGATGGCGCCCGTGGGTTGGTGAATGATCCATATGAAGCATTTCGAGCCATCATCTGTACTACCTTCGGGTGTACATACGGAAAAACTGGAACGGTGCAGAGAATATTAGCACGGCCCCTGCGCGAGGATGACACGCACAATCGTGAAGCGTTCCTCTATTGAAAAAAAAGTCGAATCAATGCTTGAAAAAAATGCTCGATGTCTGTTATAAAGAAAAAAAATGTATGGGGACACGACGGAGTTACAGCGGTTCGGTAGTAAGAACTAAGGCTGACAGTTCCGATAGCGAATACCACCTACCTGGTAGCATGGAAGTTTTGAATTTTATCTTCATTATTTTTTGCATTTTTTGGCATAGGAATTAACGTTTGACCCTTACCCTTATTCCTATACTTAACCTTGTTATTTATTTATTTTTATTTTTTCTAGTATTTTTGCAACCATCTGCTCATAAACTGGTCCACATTCTCATAAACAGCACTTTAATCCAAACTATTTAAACAAGAGCCATTTTAAAGTAAGATAGGTATATATTAATTTTGTCACAAAATGCTGTTTAAGTGACAGCTAAAATTTTAATTCCTACGTCACATTTGACAACTTGGCTATTGGCCAAAATTACGAAAGTAAACGAGGAAATTCGTGTTCAAAGCAATTCAAGTGCTACCAGATTGTAAAAAAATAAAATGGGCGCACAACCTGATAACCCTAACCTGGTACAATATTATTTTCAGGTTGTGCGCCATCTTGGCGCACATACTTCGGGAGTACCAAATACAAAAATATTCCGTGTATCATTCCATGTATAGATCAGTAAACAAACAAACTGTCTGACTTTTTGAACCAGACATTTCGGTCCACGTTTTGCAACATTTGCTACCATTACGTGACATATGACCGCTTGAGGTGTGGTTCTCATTTTTAGTAACTAGGTAGTTTTTAATTATAATATTATACAAATACAGGCCAATTTATAGGACAATTGCCGACATATACCGCTAATCTGACGGCACCTGTATAACTCTAACCTGAACTATGCCCATATGTCCTATGAATCCACTTTTAGTTGAACCTTTTTTAGCGTAAGGACACTAGGTAAAACGAAGGCATTCACATGATAACAAACTATTCAAACCGGACTGTCCGCCGTATTCATGACGGCATTGTACATGAGATTGCATATGACATTATTTATATGTAAGAGGATTATATTTAAAGATAGAAAAGTTGCTTGAACCCAGTCGCCCGCTATCCTGATATTGCTCAATGGTTATAGAAGTTTCTAACCTGTATATGTCAACATGCGCAGCCTTATTCTTTGTACACGAAATACTCATGACTATGGTCCATTCCGAAACCGCAATTTTTTTTGCATATAGAACCGTTGCGAGCTAGAAATATATTCGCAATGTAATTATCAAATTGTTCTTCATTATGACAACACCAAGGCGTACTGATAAAGCATTCTGTCTAAATCTGGTCCATGCCTGGTCGCGAATACTACCCGCGACTGGAAGTCATTCAACCAATTGATCTAGCGCCATTATTCTTCCTATGCCAGGGCCATGCGACGTGCTATGATTGACTATTTCAATAAGATGAGGGTTATTAAAGTTCATCAAGGTTACTATAGTTTACAAGTTGTCGACTTTTTTTTAACATAAGACGGAATAAAACTACCTGTCTGGTTTGCGGGTTGACTGTGGCCCAGGTTCGGTTCAAGCAATGTTCATATCTGAACTGGATATATGCGGCCGAACATGTGCCAATAACCTCCCTCAAGTCGTAACAAATTGCTTCGACCGATTACGAAATCATTACGATACTGCTATAGCACAAAACCAGGGTACTTGAATACAACCGATGATTTATTTTAAAATTATACCAAATTTACTGCACATTTTCCGCGCATCAAACGTGGCCCGAGTTGAATTGGTAAATATCTAGTAACAACATATTATTTGGTCATAATAACACATTTCCAGCATTTTTGTTCAAGCCCTCGGGCGATTGACCAATTTCTAGAGTATGTTGTTAACTTTACATCTCCTATCGCGTAAAATGCATGATTACTTTACTGTTTTTCATGAATGAATGCCCGCTTTCTACTCGAGGTTACACCCTATCAGACTAGTCACTAGATGACGTTCGAAGAGATACTCAGTGAGTGCGGAGATGTTAAAAATGTGCAAAAGGTGTCTAAAAAAATCTGGTGCAATGAAGATATCTTAATTAGTCTGTGACTGTATTTGTTGGATTTAATTCGTCGGGTTATTGTCCAAAAAACATGATACTTCTTACACTTTGCGTATTTTTAAAAGAAGGCCAATGAAGATACATTTAAGCAGTTTTACGGATTCAATAACTGTAATCCTTATATACGTTCGTCTTCGTCCTTAGTGTCCTTCGTCCGCGAGTCAACAGCATTTGATATTCAAGTTTGATACGGGTGGCGTAGAAGAACATACATGTTGATCAGTGAAAGCACAATTTCAAATTAAGATTTTTAGATTGTCTGAAAATTTTGATTTGGGCTTGATATTTAGATTCAATTTTCAAAGCATACCTCTACAGAGATAAAAATGGTACAAAAGTAAACCTTATTGTTCAAAAATGCTCACACGAGGAAACCACCACTTGTACTTGCAACGATACTCCCGTAGTATGTGCACCAGGTTAGGCTTAGGCCATAATTTTATTTCGATTTTCTTTACTTTAGTTATATTACGAGTTCGAAGAATTGTCTGTGTTAGCCAAGTGAATAAGTGAATATGTATTGGTTTTAGTCACGTTACCCAACCCGATGTAGAGAAGGCGAGTAAAATTAGTTACCTCCATATTGGTACACACACTTCTGGAGCGCCCTTGCAACAGAAATGTACATTTTCTCCTTCGTGATATGGTATGAAGGGTTAAAATCACAAGTGTTCAATCTGTTGTAAGGTTGTAAAACGTCAATAGCAAGTTATGTGTATAAGCTGAGTTGACGCCTCAAACAACTGAAACTTGTATATTTATTTTTAGAGTGTCATTTGCGCCATGGCCACATCTATGACGTGTTTATTTGCAATATGATGTCCTAATGCTACATCGTAATACATTTGCATCATATTACCAATTGCCGCTGCCGCTATATTGTGACGAGACAAGAATCGATTATGATATTACAATTCGTGAAATATGATATGCAAATTGCATGTTATTTCGAAACAATCGATCATTATCAAACAATAATAGCGTCACAAAAAAATTTAAAACTAACAGAAGATTGTCAATGAGTGACATTTTTCGAATTTAAGATTTTGGATTTTTTTTTCCTTGCGAGATAACGAAATTATGTTAATGTATTAAATTGAACAAGGGCTAGATCAGATGACGTCACTATCTCAGACAAATTAAACGTCATCAAATGTTGATATTGGGTAAATATGCGATGAAGACCCAATCAACTCGTTTCAAGTTAATTCGATTCGACGAAAAAGTTCTTGAGAAACTAAACAATTTCTCCTTTACCACGACTGAACTACGGACCTTGCTAGGTCATAGTATAACTCATTGTACGTGCAGAACAGCAGCTTAAACTGAGCCCGGATATTTGGAGCGGAAACGTGCGCGCTCGACTCATCTTGCGCAAGACCAGCACATCCACTTGCAATGATCCCATTTGATTATTCTTTAAAATACGTTCAAATATATAGCAATATAAATCAGTTTCATTGGTGTTACTGTGGCTTTATTCATACTACCGGAGGTAGGAGACATTTGTAATTCTCTCGCAGTCTTATTCTCACGTAATATTAATTTACAATCTATGTTTTACCATGGGAACACTGCTATTAGCCAATGGAAAACATGTATTTGAAGTCATTTTGAAAAGCTTGGTTAGTTAGTTGACGTGAAGGACTGGGTGTTCGGCGATAATATTTCTGATGGATTTTATCATTATCAAAGCATATAGTAATTCTAATCGATCTAGTAATTAAAATTCATTAAATATCTAAGGTACAGCGAGGAAGAAGCGATTATGAAGCTTAGTTAAACTCTCGTTTATGTGACAGATGTAGAACATACAAAAGTTATTCTTGTTTAAATGGTCGCTTTGTAGAATCTCTCTGAGGAAGGCTCCAAACAACGGCAGGTTAGACTTCCTGCCCTTCGGAAATTTCAGCTTTCGTCAATTCCTCGCCGTTCTGATAGGTTGGTGGTATAAGTTGAAGAAGAAGTATTTCGCTTTAGTTGTGTGTTCGCTAACGTTTGCCTTGTAAGCGCGTCGTAAACAATTTCAATATTGTAAATAAATTTACAACTTTTTGAAAAAGAATGCGTTCCGTTAATCGAGCAATTACTACAACTATATTAAGAATATTCTGAAGCTTAGATTATTTGATTTTAATCTGAAAGGTGGTTTTATAAGCGAACTTTGCCCAGTGTGTAATTGTATTCGTGTTTTGTGAGTTTCATATTGACTCGAAATCATTCGAAACGTTGTGAATAAATCCAATTTTGATCTTGGACATATATTTACAATTATAATAGAGCATTTACCGATATTATGAATATTCAAGTATTCGTGGTATTAGTTTGTAATCCAAAATTTGTTTATCTCAATTAAATCGTCACAACAAAGTATCAAGTGCAATTGATGAGTTGAGACAACACAGCTTAACTACGATAATCGGAAGTCTTTGTTATTGATTGTGAAAGAAGGTGCTATAATCGTTCATACAATTTGAAACTCAAAATCAACACATACTTAAAAATTAAAATTTATTTATTGATTTTGCTTGCTGTTAAAATGCCAACTCCCCATAGTTTATTTTTTCTACTTGTGCTGGCAATCCATCTGTATAGTTTGCAATAAATAATTTTTAATTTAATAATGGCCCGGTCATCATCAACTACTTGAATTGCTGGCAACCTTTAATCAATGCGTTTTAAACTTGTAAATGTCGGGCATAGTAGAAGCGAAAATAGAGGTTGTCGTGAATTGTTGGGATTAACCCACTTTTTACGCACAATATAGAGCTGTATTTTTATTTATCAATCGTTCAAAAATCTTAAATCAAACTGTCACGAATTTTATTCACTAACATTTAGTCAGAAAAAGCATCCCGCACAGTATGTGTATGCAGTTATGGTGTCCAACTCAAAATATGTCGCGG